GGACTGCCAGAGACCCCAGCAGTCCCTCTACAACAGCTCCGGCCACCCCGGCCCTCCATGGCTATGTGATCACCATGATCACATCAGCGCAACAGGACTCTAGGAGCTGCCAGCAGGGGGACTCAGCTGTCAGGCAGTCCCCCAGGCTGCTAAAAAAATAAATAAAATAAATATATTATACGTATACAGGTGGTCCTCATTTAGCGACCTACCTGTTTTACCACGGCTCGCACTTATGACCAGGCCGTCATGGGGATTCCCTGCTCTGGTGCGTATGTATATGTTCGGGAAAACTTACCCGAACATAGACGAACGCACCAGAGCAGGGAATCCCTCAAATCTATGTTGGGGAAATTTCCCCGAACATAGACGAACGCACGAGAGCAAGGATTCCCTCAAATCTATGTTCGGGGAAATTTCCCCAAACATAGATTAGAGGGATTCCCTGTTCTGGTGTGGACGTCTTTTTTTGGGGAGGTTTACCCGAATAGAGACAAATGCACTAGAGCAGTTAATCCCTTAACTCCTCACTTACCGACCGATTTGTTCTACGACCAGGTCATAGGAAGGCAACCCAGTCGATAAGTGAGGAGTGTCTATATTATATATGTGTAATATATTATAAAATAATTGAGTCATTTTATAATATATTATACATATATAATGCATCTATATGATTTCATTATAAGTGTACTTTGATATATATCTCAAAATACACTTATGATAAAATCATAGGTGCATTATATATGTATAATATATTATAAAATGATTTATAATATATAATACATATACAGGAAATATAAGTGTGTGTGTATCTACACACACACACACACACAGACACGTATTATGTGTGTGTGTATATATATATATATATATATATATATATATATATATAAATATATATATATATAATGTGTGTGTGTGTATATATATACATATATATGTATAATATATATACGCGCATGTATTATATATATATATATATATATATATATATATTAAAAACCAAAACATTAATGCAAAAACAAATAAAACCACTAAATTTGGTTTAGCTACAACAAAAGACTGGAAATATCCCATTTGGAATACCCTGGGTTGTCTACATTTGAAAATGATATGCCGTGATGAGGTTATTTCACATTCCTGGGCTAACATATGGTCTCAAAAGGCAACAAAGGTTCAGCAAACCAATCTGGCAAACTAGATCGGGCAAGCCCTATACTGACCCTGGAACTTTCCAAAACACCATAAAACCTGTACATGGGCAGTATTGTTATTATTATTATTATTGCCATTTATATAGCGCCAACGGATTCCGTAGCGCTTTACAATATTTTTACTTCGTTGAACACAAATATGAGTGTTCTAAATCAGTAAAACGTATTCCGATTATGAAATCACCAGTAAAAGTGCAGTTTTTGTGTAAAAAAATGCAAAAAACAAAGAAAAATGCTAACTATGGCCAGCGTTTGTGACTAAGTGGCTACTACAAAAGACTGGACACACCCCATTTTGAATACCCTGGGTTGTCTACTTTTACAAATGGTATGCCATGATGGGGTTAATTTTAATTACTGGGCTGCTATATGGTCTCAAAGGCAACATAGGCCCAGCAAACCAATTTGGCAAATTTCAATGTGCAAATATGGAAAAGGTGAAAGCCTTACATTTGACCCCTGTAAATTTGCAAAAGCCCATAAAACTTGTACATTGGGGGCACTGTTGTACTCGGCAGATGTTGCTGAACACATATTGGGGGTTTCTTTATCAGTAACACATAAACGGAACTAAAAATCCATGCCTATACTAGAATATGAGAGAAAAATAATACAAAAAAACGACTATCCAAAAGTTTGACAAAGACTGGTGGTAGAATTAGTGCATGGAAAGTGTTAAAATACCACCATTTGAAATACCCTAGGGTGTCTACTTTTAAAAAATATATGGTTTGATGGGGGTAAATTATATTGTCTGGCTTCAAAAATGTCCCAAATGGGACATGGGTGCATGATGACTTACTGAGAACATTCCAAGTTGGAAAACAGGAATGTGCACCCTCAAAATAAGGTCTTTTAGCTCCCAGAGAACCCGACACACCTATGGTGTATCAGGTATCCCTGTTCTCAGGAGATGATGCTGAACACATATTGGGGTGTTCTTTGGCAGTAACCCTTAAAGTTCTCAGTACATATATTCTTAAATTGCTATGTGTCTCAAAGCAATCACCAATTATTATTCATTTTGCATAGATTGGTGGTAAAATGGCTGCATGAAAAGATTCAAAATACCCCAGGTTTAATACCTTAGGTTGTCTTCTTTTAAAAAATATATACATGTGAAGGGTTATTCAGGGATTCCTGGCAGGTATCAGTGTTCCAATGTAACTTAATTTTGAAAAAAAAAATGGTTTGGAAATGGCAAAGTGCTACTTGTGCCTATAACTTTCCAAAAAAAGAACATGCTAACATTGGGCATTTCTAAACTCAGGACAAAATTTAGAAACTATTTAGCATGGGTGTTTTTTGGCAGTTGTAGATGCGTAACAGATTTTGGGGGTCAAAGTTCAAAAAAGTGTGTTTTTAAAATTATTTCATCATATTTTATAGGTTTTTTATAGTAAATTATATGAAATTATGAAAATAATGGTATCTTTAGAAAGACCATTTAATGATGAGAAAAACAGTATATAATATGTGTGGGTACAGTAAATGAGTAAGAGGAAAATTACAGCTAAACACAAACACCACAGAAATGTAAAAACAGCCCTGGTCCTTAACGGCAAAAAAATTGAAAAAGGGCCTGGTCACTAAGGGGTTTAATGTGGGGGCAGTGTTTGGGAGGGTAATATTGTGGCGGCAGTGTTGGTTACAGTGTGAGGGGCAGTGTGTGTTGGTGACAGTGTGGTGGGGGCAGAGTGGGTGACAGTGTGGCGTGCAGAGTGTGTATGTCAGTGACAATGGGGGGGCAGTGTGTTTGTGTGTTGAGGACAATGGGGGGCAGTGTGTATTCCTGTTTGTGATAAGGTGCGGGGGTAGTGTGTGTGTGTGTTTGTTGGTAACAGTGTGGGAGGCTGTTTTAGTGGCAAGCCACCCCACATTGAAATACCTTTACTTAAGTGAAAAATTCCTTGGTGGTCCAGTGGGCAGCTCTCCCTGGTGGTTCGATTGGTATCTCTCCGTTCTGCAGCTCCGTCTAGTGCAGAGCAGCAGACCATGTAATAGAGGTCTCGCGAGCACCCAGAGTGTTGCCATGATAACCCATGGAAACGCTCCTGGAGGTCGCAAGACCACTTGGAGCTGCAGACAGAAGGTGGTGGACTCTTTTCCAGTGAGACTGATTGGAAGGGCCCCGCACGCCGTGGCATACAGGGCAAGCCATCAGGCCGTTCTTGGTCACAGACCGAGGACCCATCACGTCAATCTGCCCAAGGCAATTTAGGCAAAGTCGAGGCCTTAGGTGGCCGCCTAAATCGCCTAATTAGAGAGATTTGGGTCTGTTATATTAGGATGGGGGCAGTAAATCGCCGCCCCTGTCAGAGTGCTGCCTGGAGCCATGGTCCCACTGGGACCTATGGACGGGTCAGCCCTTGCGTATAATTCCGTCATATAAAATTTTACAAATATTTAGCTGTAAAATAATTATTCTCTCCTTGCAATATAACTTTAAAAAATGATTGAAATCATAGAGATATCAATTCAAAATAAATAACCGAGAGATATAGTATGGGCTGAATCTATAGGTATATTGGAAACTTAGCAATGGCCTCGGCAATAAAACCCCTCCAAAGAATAAACCAACAGCGGTATAAAAGGGTGAAATTTAAGAACAGACTTTATTGTTGTAATACAATGAGCAATACATAAAATATATGTAACTAGCTTGTAAGCCAGTGAAGCATGCATGTTGTTAATGTGAGTTTCACTGTATTTTATTTGGCATTAATGAAACTAATAAGGGCAATGATAAATCATGTTTTTCTTCCACCTTTAATGTGTTTGTTTTATATCTTTATCTGAATAAATATTTTTCTATCCAAGTGTTAAAGCTGCCATTAGGCTGTGTGTGAGAATATGTAGATGTGTTTGTCTTTGCATAATTGTCTGAATTTGTCTTTGAATTGTTTGTGCTTGTGCATGAATATGCATTTGTCTCTCTGTATAACAGTATGTGTTTCTTTGTGCATAAACATCAATGTCTGAATGATTTTGAATGTATTTATGTGAATGAATCTGCAGGCTTGTCTCTTTGCATTTGTTGGTTATATCCATGTGTCCGTAGAATGAGTAGTGTTTTTTTTTTTTTTATACACTGCACTGTCAGTCTAAATTCCAGCTCTGCCTCTTTGTGGATCTGCTCTATTGTTCTTGGACCCTGCGGTTTATGTCAAGGTACCCAGTTATTTCGCCTCAAATCCAGGACATCCTGCACCAAAAATCAAATCCGTGAAGATGGTTTCCTGTTTTTTATATAAATCTTGCGAAAATAGTCGTCCATGTGAGCCTGTCCAAGTTCTAGGTATTTTCTAACAGATGTTAGCAAAAGGCAGATGCACTCCATGGACTCTTCGCTCTTCCTGTCCACTGGTTTAATAATACAGTTGTTCATGGTGTCTTCTGAGAGCAATTTTACTTTACAAACAGCTCCCCAATAAATGTGATGTTCCCTTGGGATCTCCTGCATGTTTCATTACAGGCATCACTCCATTTCTCCTTTAGGTGAGTCTTTTCTGTAGGTGATGTAGCTTCATCCAGCTCCTTTTGCAGTTTTTGAACTCCTTCACCATTTGCGCCTCTCTCAAACTCCTTCTGGCAGAGCCTTAGTAGCAGATGCGGCTTGTAATGCAGACTTCACAATTGTCTTCTGTTGGGACCTGGAGCATCATTAGCCAGTTGCACATGCTGGCATTTAAAACTGCAAAATATGAGTTCAGCAACACCTTTCAGCTGATACTCTGTGTCTACAGAGATGTCCTTCACCTGTTTGATTACGTGCTGGAATGTCTGTGATCTTATTCAAAATACTGCGAACTCTGCGAAACAGGTCTTGAGCCATGACTCTGTTGGGATCTTCATTTGCCCTTTTCATAAGAGGTTTCCAAGCTTTCACAGGGTAACATTCTGATTTATTTGAAGGATTTTATGAGGTTCTTTACCAGTAGCTTGCTGAAATCTCATTTGACACATTCCAGGTGCCAGTCTGTGATTACCCTTAGCAGGGTTGCAGAAATTTGCAGATCAAGGTCTGCAATTCCTGCTCGTCAATCGTGATGGATCCAATGGCCTAAGGTGTAGTCTAATAACCATACCTTAGTAGATTTTATAGATTTCAGTGAAGTCCTTTGGCTCTTATGTGATAGATTTGAATTGGAGTAAAATATCCCTGTCATAGCATATCCTTTCTACCTTTGCTTTGATCTTTGGCTCCTCTTGAAGTGCAGGTACTGCAAGGTCTTGACTTTCAATGATTTCCTTTGGAACAATATCAGCCTCTCCAGGTTGTACTTTTTCTTCTGTATCTTTCAATGGTTGCTCTTCAGGGTCACTGCTCAGGCTTACATATTATCAAGGCTGATTCTTCTTTATCTCAGTTTGCTTCTGCTCAGGAGTACTCTCTTGATTGACTACATGCAACTCCTCTGTCTGAACAATGGGAGAATCCAAAGTAGTCTCAGAGTGATAAATCACAGTGTCAGAGTTTACTGGGAGCTCCTCTAACATTTCACCAGTGTGTGGTTTGGCAGGACAAACTGGGCCCTCTAAAAGAATACCATGTTCTTGAAATGTGACAGCCTCCTGAGATTGTAGATTTATAGACTAGATTTAGGTTGACAACCCAAAGTGGACTGTGGCTGACCAAGATCCACTGGCAACTCCTCTGTCAATCCACTTGTATGAGGTTCCATAGTACAATCAGGGCATTCTAGAGAATTGTTGTCTTCTAAACATGTGACAACCTCAGTAGGCTCTAGAGATATAGACTGTAGCAAATGACAGCGAACTGTGACTGGGTCCTGACAATCTACATTTATAGGCTTAGGTGCAAAACCCAAAGTGGACTGTGGCAGATCAGGGTACTTTGCAATCTCCTCAGTCAATCTGTGTGTATGAGGTTCGATAGTACAAGCAGGGCATTCTAGACAATTGTCTTCTAAACATGTGACAACCTCTGTAGGCTCTAGAGACATAGACTGCAGCAAAGGATTAGGAATATCCTCTAGACTTATGAAAGGTTCAAGCTGTAGAATAGTATTCTGTTTATAACACTCTGCAGAATCTTTTTTTTTTTTCCAGTCCCTTTTTGTCTACTTCCTTTTCTGGGACATTTGCAGCCTTTTTAGTTGTTATGTATTGTTTTGGAAGTAATGCAGGTTTTACCTTAGAAGAAAGGAACGAGTCCCTGCAATTAAAAGATGAATTTAAAAAAGTTAAAATAAAGTTCTAACAATTGTGTCCTTCCCTCCCTTTCCCTCCATAGGCCCATTTTGTCATTTATCTTATCCTTTTCTGCTTTCCTCTCACTTTCGGTCCGTCAACTACCCTATCACTCGTTATCTATCAGTCATTATTGCACAGCTTACAGTGACACTATCACATCATTTATGTTTCAGTAACTTCAGTAAATAGATTATTTTGTACCATAAAGGCTTCTGTTTATTTTAAAATGCACATCTTATGGTAATTAGGTAGTGCCTGCTAAGTCATGTTGCCGTAGTACCCCCACAGTGATTTGTGATGTTGGTTCAGAAACAGCATTGACATGTTTCTTTATCTGTGGTGCTTCTCTCGTTGGTTTTCTGTGAACGCAGAAAGTCAGTGAGGGAACCTGGGTATTGGTTTACTGAGTACACTGCAGTTTTATTTGTATAACCTTATAGGATTATGGTCAGTCAGTCTGAGTCTCATGATACACTTACCTAGATGGTCGAGCATACGTCATTAAATGTTGTTTTTTGTTGGAGTTACCCGAATATAGTATGGCACATCGGTAGATGACAAAGGTATGTCTAAAGCTTTTAAAGAAAAACACAAAAAAACTAAATGGTCAGGCTAGTTCTTACAGCAGCGTAGAGGTTAAAATGTCAATTTGTTAAAACGAAACATCAACAATGGGAAAAAAGCACAATGGCCCCTCTATCCCCCCTTAACTAATGTTATAATACAGTATTTACCTTTCATCAAGCACTGCAAATTTAGGTGTAACAGAAGGGGGAAGGTGAAGTCTCTTTATGCCGTGTTGGTACATTTTTCGAGTTTCTTCTACAAGCCCACAATTCTGCTTCCATGGCTCCCATTTCTTCACCTTTTCAGTATCTGGACAAACATCCAGACAAGGTGATCCTGGGGCAATATCTGGGGCTCTACTTTAAAAGGTAGCTTATTTTGGTAAGAAAAAGTGATCAGTGACATTTCATATTTCACACATTTGAACTTATATTTCTGGAATAACTGAGATGATAAAATAAGCCATTATATATTATGCATTACTATTTGAGTTGTAATGTAATGATTAGCTAAGTCAATATTATGTGCAAAACCTGTAAAATACCTGGACTAATTTCATCCTGCATTTCATCCCAGGTTGGGGCTGTCTGATCAGGATCTCAAAACACCATTTTTAAATCCTATGTATTTTACTTTTTTTGCACCCCTGTATACCATGCCTGCTTATTTTATTTCATTCACTACAAATGGGCTAGGATCAAGGCCGCCATCAGGGGGTGACAACCCGGGCCCCACATTCCCTCTCTGCACATATATTTAGCGATATTCGCTATATATATGTGCAGCTGCGGGCCCCCAGCTCCCTGTTACTGCAGAGGGGGCCCAGCACACTCCATCTGCACATTCAGTTCCTCTCTCCCAATAACTCTTGTGATACCCGCGGCCTTCAGAGCGTTGCTACGGGTTACCATGGCAACACTCCGCACGGCACGCCCGACACGCTCGCGAGAGTTATAGGGAGAGAAGAGCTGAATGTGCAGATGGAGTGTGCTGGCAGTAACAGGGAGCCGAGGGCCCCACCATCCCACTGGACCACCAGGGAAGGGAATCTAACAAGGGGGGGGGGGGAATAACATTTCATAAAATTTATTTTAAAATTAATGTAAAAATGCCCCTCCCCCCCTCTGGATTGCAGGCCCTAGTTTGCACATTTACACACACACACACTGCATACACTACACTGACACACACACTGCATACACTAGTACAACACACACACTGCATACACTATACTGACACACACTCAGCATACACTACACTGACACATACACTGCATACACTACACTGACACACTGCATACACTAGTACAACACACACACTGCATACACTACACTGACACACACACTACATACACTAGTACAACATACACACTGCATACACTACACTGACACACACACTGCATACACTAGTACAACACACACTCTGCATACACTACACTGACACACACACTGCATACACTAGTACAACACACACACTGAATACACTACACTGACACACACTCTGCATACACTAGTACAACACATACACTGCATACACTAGTACAACACACAAACTGCATACACTACACTGACACACTCTGCATACACTAGTACAACACATACACTGTACACACTAGTACAACACACAAACTGCATACACTACACTGACACACTCTGCATACACTAGTACAACACATACACTGCATACACTACACTGACACACACTCTGCATACACTAGTACAACACATACACTGCATACACTATACTGACACACACTATGCATACACTACACTGACACATACACTGCATACACTACGCTGACACACTGCATACACTAGTACAACACACACTGCATACACTACACTGACACACACACTGCATACACTAGTACAACACACACACTGCATACACTACACTGACACACACTATACATATAATACACTGACACACACACTGCATACACTAGTACAACACACACACTGCATACACTACACTGACACACACACACTGCATACACTAGTACAACACACACACTGCATAAACTACACTGACACACACTCTGCATACACTCCATTGACACACACACTGCATACACTAGTACAACACACAAACTGCATAAACTACACTGACACACTCTGCATACACTAGTACAACACACACACTACATACACAACACTGACACACACTCTGCATACACTATACTGACACACACTTTGCATACACTACACTGACACATACACTGCATACACTACACTGACACACTGCATACACTAGTACAACACACACACACACTGCATACACTACACTGACACACACACTGCATACACTAGTACAACACACAAACTGCATACACTACACTAACACACACACTGCATACACTACACTGACACACACACTGCATACACTACACTGACACACACTCTGCATACACAGTACAACCCACACTCTGCATACACTACACTGACACACACTCTGCATACACTAGTACAACACACACGGCATACACTACCCTAACACACACTCTGCATTCACTACACTGACACACACTCTGCACTCACTATACATACAACATCCACTACACACACACATTCTGCATACACTACCCTAACACACACTCTGCATACAGTACCCTAACACACTCTCTGCATCTACTATACTGACACACTCTGCATTCACTACACTGACACACAGTATCCACTACACACACATTCTGCATTCACTATACTCAACACTACATCCACCCCACATTCTGATGTCTCTCTGCATCCACTACACTGACACACTCTGCATTCACTACACTGACACATAGTATCCACTACACACACATTCTGCATTCACTATACTCACACTACATCCACCCCACATTCAAAAACTCTGCATTCATTATACACAGACACTGCATCTAATACACACACACTACATCCACTACACAAACACACACACTGCATCCACTACACACACTGCAGCCAATACACACACTACACAAACACACACTACATCCACTACACAAACACACTTCAGCGGTTCCCAAAGACAGGCACACAGGGGTGCAGCGGAATGATTCCCCGGTGCTATAAACATAACTGTGACCGGGTGCTGTGGTCCTTTAAGCAGTGGTGTATCCTGGTTTTGTGCTGCCCTAGGCAGGACAAAACTCAGGCGCCCCACTCCCCCGCGCCACCCCCACCCAACCCTTCCCCCCCGCCCCACCTTATAAATACACACACACAGTCAGACTCACACAAACACACAGTCAGACACACACACACAGTCAGACACAAACATACACACACACACAGTCAGACACAAACACACACACACAC